TCTACAGACTGTACGCGTGCGCTTGTGAACGCATCCTTGCATATGATGAGACTCGCGAGCGAGGGGGGCCCGAAGGCCACGCTGGCCAACGTCGGCGAGGACAAGCTCTGTTTACATAATGCGTTGTGAACACGAGAGGGTCCGGCCAGGCTGCGCTGTCAGCCTGCGTTGAGGTACAGGCCGTTGTGTAATGGGACAAATAATGGTGAGGCTGATATGCAGCGGCAGCGTGTTTGCCGGGGTCAGAATAAAGGCAGGAAGTGGAAATGAAAAGAAAAAGGGGAGACGGAATACACTCTACCTCCTCGACTCTCGCTGTCTGCCGGCTTCACCTGGATCGGTCTGTTCATCTGCGTGAGGGGAAAAAAAAAAAAAAAAAGAGGGACAGATGAGAAATACGGAAGGAAACATGAAGCAGTTAGTCGTATGAACTCATGTGCCGGGACACGCTTCCATCCCCCAATCCCGCCTAAAAATAACCTTATTTATTTATTTAAAAAAAAAAAAAAAAGAATCACTCAGCCAAATTGCTGGTAAAGTGTATTAAAAATCTCCAAAGCTGCAGCGCTTATAGCCATTGGGGGAAGAGTTGGTTGGGAATACGGGCTGCAAATATTATTTGATCTGAGATGAAAGGCGGGGGGTGTGGTGGGGGGGGTTGGAAAGAGAAATGAGGAGAGGGATGAAGGGAGCGAGACAGGAAGGCAAAAAGGAGAGTCGAGAGGTAACTCTTGGTCAGCAGATCTGCTCTGACTACACCGTCACCGGGAGGACTTCTGTCTGAGGCCCCGATGGATTTTGCACACTCACCGGCCACGGATTTCAAAATACAGAACCTGTACAGGCCCATGAGATCCCATCCAAGAATTCCACTATTGAAATAATACTCCCTTTTGATTCCATTCATCGCCTCTTCCGTGGAGGCTATCACAAAGTTTTTTTTTTGTTGTTTTTATCACTGTCGGTTTTGCCTTCTGCAGAATTGCACAAAAACTTCCAAAGCAATTTCTTTGCAGAGAAGTCGGCCACGAAATCACCTCTTAGATTGTGATGTAGATCTTGGTACAGCCGTGGAATTTTCATGAGATTGTTTCAAAAGTTCTGGATGAATAATGCATCGGTCTTGACGACACGAGTGAGGCGTGTGCAGGTGGAGATCTCTGAAGTTTTTGACCCTCTTGTGGAAGATGGAGCTGCAACGACGTCAACCACGGGGGGGGGGGGGGAGGGAAGATTTTTCTGTGGCAAATGAGTATAAGACTTCCCACAGATCTGATTGGTTGGGTAGAAACGGCAGATGTCTTGCGTTCTATGCAAAAGCATTGATTGGTTGCAAGTATCGACTGATCGATGATGTCACTGATGGGCTCCGCAAAGGGAGACATGACAGCAAACACAATCTCATTGACTCCAGAAACATTCTGTGCTGCCATCGTCAATGATCCAAAGTTTCTCAGCCTAAACAGTCGGATTTGTTTTCCAATGTTATTAAATATATGTCTTTTGGGGGCGGATTCGTGGGCCCCGGCCTCAATTTCAGGCTCCAAAATTCTGCAATTGACACGATGCTATTTTTTTTAAACCTCATGTCAAAAATTACTTACAGTTACTTGTCATCATAAAAACAGTGCATCCAATGATTCAAATCTAAATAGAAGGACTTTCATCCCGTGTATGTGACTGAGGCAAAATACTTTCCTAGAAATGGTCTGACAAGAGCAAACATTTGAATATTTTCAAAATGTAAAAAAAAAAAGAAAATCATGAATGCTATTGATGAATATCTCTTCTCTCATTCAAACAAAAGAAACCTTGACTGTCCTATGAACAACCCAAGATACATTTTTTTTTCTGAATAATTTGGCTTTCATGCACCCCGTAACCTGATAACATGATAAACTGTCCACTGTAGTAACCGCTGTCCCTGAAAGGGTTAAATGGACAATAAGGTCAAATGTTACGACTGCATAAAGTAAGCACATATTGTCCACGCAGTGAGGGGGGGCACCACGGCACGTCTCTCGTCCGATTACAAATGATACCGACCCACGTGCATATGCATGCACACCACAAGTGCAGGCACACTCGCACCACACACACACACACACACACACACACACACACACACACACACACACACACACACACACACACACACTCCCCCACGTCCCTCAGCGAGACCTTTCCACAGGGTCGGTCCTCATGTCATTTGCCTCCTGCCTGTCAGACATTCCCTCCGCCTCGGCCCCCAGAGCTAAACGCTCGCCTCCAATCAATTTTTAATAATGCCAATCGCAATGCTGCCAGGAGGAACGGGGAGACGCGCGGTGAGAGGGGAGCAAGAGCGGAGGATGCGGAAAGGGAGAAGTGGGGGGGGGGTGCGTGTTGAAGCGCTCGGACCGGAGGGGAAAGGTCAAGATTCCGTGTGATGCAGCATCAGTGTTTTGTGAAATATCATTGAATCCTTTCTTTTGAGTTTGCTGATACACTCATCATTGTAATGAATGGTTCAGATGATTCAACAAAGCCAAAGCCGCAGGGGCAAGGAGGACACGGTGTCACGACGCAACACAAGTAATGCTCGGACCTCCAAGCCCTTCCTTTCGTCATTCTCGGACCAATATTAAAACATAACATCCGCCATAACGTTTATTTCAAAAAGAGTTACCCGTCACGTCTTCACCCTCATCTCCTCCCTGCGCTTGACAGCCAAGAGAGCCCTATTAATGTTTTTAATGTGCGGCGATGCATTATTTATCAGACTGGCTGTTGATATGGAGGAAAAAAAAAAAAAGAACGGGAGAACTGGGAATGCAGTGAGCAGGTTAAAAAATGTGTAAAAGAGCTGGATGGCGAAGGTGATAAGAGGGGTGATGGGAGGAAGAACTCAAGCTCATTTTAAACTAAGTGGGGGTGATGGAAGGAGGGGGTGCGGTGGAGGGGAAACATTGGGGGGATAAGGAAAGAGGACAAAGGGGAGCTATGAGGACATAGATCAGACTATGAGACAAGGTCAGCATGGAGCTGTCTCTCTCATACATATGAGTGCTTTTACCATGACCCATACTAATGGCGTGGCCTCAATCTGACCTAATTGTGTTCCACCGCCACTGATTTAAAATCCAAACGCTGGTCTGAATGCAACATATTAAAAACAAAAACAAAAAAAAAAAAAAGCACTGAACTGACCCTGCTCTGTAACAGTGAATGCTTTCTGTTTTGGTCTCGAAAAGATGAAACTCATTCTCGTCATCCATGTCTGAGCACTGAATCACTTTAATGTATCCTTGCTACTTACTTGAACCGCAAGACTTCCAGTCTCCGCTCATAAAGTTTTACATACAGTTCAAAACAATGTTCAGCGGTTAAACTATTATTTTCTTTTGCCACTGAAAGCTGAGTGGCGTTTCATGGGCTTGCCGCCATTATCTCAGCAACATAAACTGCTTCAAGGTCAGTTTTATCAGCCAGCTCATAACGCGGGTAGAATTAGCACCAGACCGCCGGACAAACCGATCCCAAAACAGCCGTTAAAAAGTGGACGCTGACTCGCGCTGATGGGTTCCTTCCAGAGGACTGCAGTGGCGCTTGCCAAAGCCAGATGGCACCGTCGAGCAGCGGAACCAACTCGGAAACGTGCAACCCGAAAGCTTGTGTGAGGGTGGGGAGGGACGCACCGCGTCCACGCCCGAACGTACGTGCACATATGCAAATGCAGCTTACAAGACATGCTTCGCTTCTGGCCTACACAAAAAGCCATCACAACGGACTCATGCCTCCAAGCATCCATGCGAATATTCCATGTGTAAATATTTCGAGATGGGGAAAGCCAATTGGCTCGTTTTCTCAGGCGGGCGTGCCTCGTAATCTCACGTGCGTTCTCTCGTCTCGATTTATAGTATTGTAAATTGAGTGGTTCGTTGTTTAATGGATGGCTCTACTTTACGGACGGCAAAAGGAGAGATGGAATTCTTTGAATGCAGTTTTATTGAAAGGGGAAAAAAACGCGTGCACCGCAGCACGTTCCAGAACACACTCTTCCCTAGTAACCTTACTTCCTGCTTTCCCTTACTTCAACAGCCAATCAGAATCTATCATCATAAACTTACTTCCTGCTTTCCCTGACTTCAACAGCCAATCAGAATCTATCATCATAAACTCACTTCCTGTTTTCCCTTACTTCAACAGCCAATCAGAAGCTATCAACATAAAATCATATTTGAGAAATTAAGAGAATATAATTTAGGTATCTTTAACATCAAATACAATACTGTAATGTTCAAACATAAAATGATAATAATTAACAATTGAACAAAAGCTTACAGTATCACCCATTCATTCATGCGTGCGTCTCGCACGCTTGCTCACATGCGAAACGGGGCATGCTGAGCTCCAATGTGGCTGAAAGTCCAACTCAGCAGCCTTGTGTTCGAGCGGCCTTGGAGCGGCGCTTGATCGACAGCTCCGAAAGAACTGCGGCTCCAACGACGGCGCGTACGCGCGCGCGCGCGCTCGTCTCGTTCCTCTGTTGATTACGTAACTCAATGACAGTGCTCTGCCTCGGCGCTGCCACAGATTCCCCGCTAACTAGAAGCTGAGGGAATACATGGTGTGCATGCAGTCTGCACTGTATCAAACTGGTGAGTCATTCTTCTGAATCAGCCTAGTAGGGGCCCAGCGAGGCGTAGATGATTAACTCCAAACAATGTGGGATTATAGACGATGCGCTCTGCCTTGAAATGGGGAGCAATTATTCCAAGTCCTTGATCTGAGTTTTGCTGCTGTACTGTATTGACTTCGGGTGTGTTCAAACCGGCACCATGACGTGAAATCACAACAGGAAACGACAACTTTGGTTGAATTTCTATAGAGTCACTTGTGTCAGTCTCATTTTTTTTTTTTTTGCGTGCGTGGTATCCTATCTCCATAGTAACACACATCATTCACTAGGACAGCGTCTGCGAACCCCTCTTGAGCCAAGACGCCCATTTGAAAATCTCACACCTGAATGGATTCACAATTAAAACTTCTCAGCGGGTAATATCGACAAATATTGATTGAACACAAAGCTGACCTACTCACAGGAAGCCATGACATATGATTATAAGTGTACCTTCTGTCATGATTTAACGACGTAGATGGATGACCAAAGGCTCACTATTTTCACAAACTATTCCAAATAATATGTCTGACAAATTAACTGAAATTGGATCAAGTTCTGTGGCAACCCCGAGTTTCTCTTAAGTGTGCCGTGGCACCCTGGTCGGGAATCTCTCCACCTTTCCTCAGGAAAGATTATGAAAGTTAGCTTCACGGAGCTGTGGACAGGAGGGGGGATTTTCTGATTTTT